GTGTTTTCCTCTCTCTTCCTCTCTTTCTTTGTGTGTCTTATTCTTTTCAATTGCCAACACAAAAGAAAAAAATCGAGACCTGGTGGGGCACTCCTATAATCCCAGCACTCCCAAAATTGAGGCAGGAGGGTAGGGTGTTCAGTGTGGCAAGATAAAAGCTAACCTGGGCTACATGAGACCCTGTCTCAAAAAAAAATCTTGGGAAAGTTCTTGACAAGAAGTCTCAGAGAACTGTAAATATTACTATGCATATATAAGATGAATAGATTAGACTATAATAGAATATAAAATAAGTAATATTTATAAAATATTGTACATGTGAAGACAATATAGGATTAAAAGTCTGAATTGAAAGTGAAGCACTAAGGAACTATTGAATTACCTTCTTTCTTTTTTTCTTTTATTTGTGTTGTTCGTTTTTGAAGATCTGGGGATTGAACCTGGTACTTCATGCATCTAAGGCAAATGATGCTCTCTGCATTTGAATGGAAGCACTCAATACCAAGATCGAGACAGATGAGGTGGTCTTGACATTAAACGAGGAACCAACCGAAATAGTGACCGACAAGGGACATCTAGAAGCTTATGGCTAGACTTGTTGCCTTAATTTCTTCATTTACAGAAGAGCCAGTTAATGTAATGAATCAACCATTTCACACTGATGTATTTTTTTCCTGACTGTTAGAAAAAAAACAAAACAAACACCATAGAGAGAATGCTTAAGCTAAGATATATTTTCATTATAGAATCTCAATTTCATGACAACTGTGTAAGAGAAGCAGCTTTGGGAAACAATGTAGTTTTTGTTTCCCCAACTATATAGGCCCTTTTCAGGCTTTTAGTTGATTGACTCCATGAAGCCAATCCCCATAAACAATCTCTGTCCAGTTTCTTTTCTTTTTCTGTGTTTTTAATTTATTAATTTTAAATTTACATTTATTTATTTAGGGAGGAGTATGCCACAGCACATATAGAGATCAGTACATATGTGGAGGTCGGAGAACAACTTAAGGGAGTTAACCTGTCCTTCCACCATGTGGGTCCCAGGGACCGAACTTATGTTGTCAGGCTTGGTGGCACGTGCCTTTAGCTGCTGAGCCTTCCTGCCAGCCCTATTTACTTATTTTTTGAGCCCAGGCTGGCTTCAAACTCCCTCTATAATTGGCCTTCAACTTCTGATCCTCCTGTTTCTACCTCCCTAGTGCTGGGCTCACAGGCATACATGACCATGCCAGATTATGTGGTGCCAGGAATGGAACCCAGGGCTTCATGTGTGCTAGGCATACATGCTACAAACTGAGTCATAGCCTCAGCCCTTTTTCCAATTTCTTAAACTCCTCCAAAGCAGAATTCCCATAGATCCTATGTTTCTAGTGGAAATGTTACAGTTAAACAAATTTTAGGGTTAAAATGAATGTTAGAGTTAAAACAGCGAGGTCAGGAACACTGAGGAACATAAGTAAGAGTGTTTGCAGCTGGGCATGAAATAGTCAAGCTGTCTATATAAGAGAAAGGACAGAGCTCCGGGAAAAACAACAAAGCTGGTCTCAGTAGACTCCACCTGGCTCCCACGAAGCCCTTTTCCCTAGTAAACTCCTCAACGTTAGGGGTAGTTATACCTTCAAACACGTTCCTGCACCCAGTGCATCTAATTTTAACAGACTGACTTGTGGATAAACACAGGTTCTAATAAAGCCTCCATCTCTATTCCAGGAAAGGAACCACACCAGACTGCTGCAAGGGCAGGCAAAGGAGGAAAAATGATAGACTGAGACTTGTAAATCCGTATAATAGAGGCAGCCCTTTGCCATTGCTAGTAGATTCTGGAAGGTAGGGTTCACTTTTTGCTTTTGCTTTCTCACCTGCTAAAATCTTTTATGTGTTAAAATAAACCTTGACCACTTGCTCACTTTACCTGTGCCCCAGTGGGAGTTCTTACCCATTAACAGCACAAGATTGAGACTCCTACTGTGGGTGGGATTGGAGAGTGTCTCCCTATCCACTAAAATGGCAATTCTTGGGTTGGAGAAATGGCTCAGTCACCATAAATCCAGTTCCAGAGGATCCCGACCCCCTCTTCTGGCCTCCACTGGCATTGTACGGCACAGGTGCAGCTACATACATTCAGGCAAAACACTCATAAACAAAATTAGAAATAAATAAAATATTTAATATGGTGAATCTCTCCATGGTGAAGCCAAGGCCTTTGTTCCTGTCTTCCTATCAGTACCAGGCACACAGTAGGCTCATGATGAAAGTTATTGAACAGATTTGTACATGCATTATTAAAGAGGGTCCTTCAAGATTTGGCAGATCACACCAACATTTAATGGTTTCATGAGCCCATGCCACAGAGAATAATGGGATATCTCTGAGGAAAAGCCTTCCTTCTTTCCTATTCCTCTGCCCTCACAGGTCCCTGAAGAACAAGCTGAGTTTCAAAAATGACTTCCTATATCCCTTTAGCAAATAGGACACTGGAGCCAGTGGAAACCATTGTACCTTAGTTCCCTACCCCTCGACTTACTATTTTAATGCAAATTTAGTAAAATAACGAATCTCACATATCACCAACAAACCTGTTTTTGTGGAGCTGCTATTAGGCAATTCGGGCTAGAAAATGAGGTAGAAGGGCATTGTCAACCAGCAGAGGGATGACAGGGTCAGCTTCATGCAAAATTGGCCCTGGGCCATGGAAAAGATTAAGCTTTGCAAATATTTGCTGGGACAGCACGAGCCTCTGAAAGTCTGCTCTAATTTCTCAGTGTGAGCTCTTAGGAGACAGTAAAACAAAGGAACTGACCTTTACTAAAGGCTGCAACTGGTCAAGTCCAGCACAATGGCGCCTTATCCTATTTATTCCTTCTAACAGCCCTTAGAACAGGGTCAGCACACTGTAGCCCTTGGGTCAAATCTGAGTCACCATCTGTTTGTTGTGTATTTGTGACAGTGTCTCACTGTGTAGCCCAGACTGGCCTTGAACTCATGATCCTCTTGCCTCAGTTTCCCAAAAGCTGGGATCACAGGCATGTGCTACTATACCTGGATTTAACAGCTGCGTTATTATAAAATGTTATTGGACTGAGGGACATCTCGGGACACTAACTGTGCATAACAGGCCTTAACACAAATGACAGAATATATGAACTCCTGGGGGGGGCTATGGGAAGGTACCAAAGGGGAAGGGGATATAAATACGATTTTATGTATGAAATACACAAAAATTCAATAAAATGTATTAAAAATTGTTATTGGAACATAGCCATTCTTGTGTAGTTTACATATTTGTCTGTGGCTACTTCCAAACTATAATGGCAAAATTAAATATTAGCCAGGACCAGGCCATTTTGTAAAGTACCTCCATTTGGGTTGAACTTTGACAATTAACAAAACCACAGTGACTTGGTTTCCAGAACTAAAGTAACTTGTTTTTCTAGATCCTTGCCCTCTCCACTCTCATAGCTGATTCAGAGACAGCCGGACTGTAAGCACATGCTATGGACTCCACGTCAATCACATGGCATAGAACCTCTCCTCTTCCTCTGAAACCTATCAAAAGGGACCCACATTCTGCATGGGCATGAACTTTCTTGTAACCCCTGCCATGCTGCTGTCTGCCCGTCTATGGTACTAGCAACTTCTAATAAATCTCTTACCCAAAAGAGCAGTCTGTCTCAATGTCCTCCAAGAGCCCCAAACCCAAAACCTTTCATTATGTACTTGTGGAAGAGAACCATGTGGTCCATAAAGTCACAAACATTTACTCCGTGGTGCTCTGCAGACACAGCCTACTGGGTTCTGTCAGAAAGGCCTTCTTATTCATTAGGATAAGGCCACATTAGCAGTGGAATAAATTGCCCAGGAAGTTGAGTATGGTGGCACATGCCTTTAATCCCAGCACTTAGGAGGCAGAGGCAGGCCAGTTGGTCTATATAGGGAGTTCCAGGCCAATCTGGGCTATATAGTGAGACCCTGTAAATAAATAAATAGCCCAGGAATTTTTTGGAGACTTACAAAGTGGAGATGTGTTGTTCACTTGGGCGACTTCTTCCTTGGATGGGTAGGGGTTTCTGTTCCAGTTAAACATCCAGGGACCAGGCTGAAGGAGAATGACCAGGAAGGGAAAACCAGAAAGTTGAGGGCCAGCACTACAGCACCTCCTTTTGGAAAGTGGCCTGCCTACCAATGACTGCCACTGCTCATGCAAGGGAAAGTACATGGTTGCCTGGTGAGTACTGAGTACCTGGACACAATGCTGTCCCCTCCACTGTAGCAGGAGGCCTCCAAAGATGGCACAGACCCAGAGGCCTGGGATTCAGCGAGAATTCACTTCACTTCTTGGTCCGCAAAGAGCCCGCCAAAAGGAGCCCACACCTCAGTACCCAGCTGGCGAGCCCAGTGACGGCTGACAGACTGTGTGGAGTGGACCAATCAGAAAACAATGCGCTGACTAAAGGGACTTGGGGGCGGAGAAAAGGGAAATATAAGGCCTGCCCCCCTCCTGCATTAACAGAGCCTACAGCACCTCGCCTAGTGCTTGCTTCTACCTGACTCCCGGGGTCTGTGTGTCGTGACTCTGCACCTCTTGCCCCCCATAATCGGCAGGGGACCCGATCCAGGTTAGGGTATTCACAGCTGGCCTAAGGAGAACCCACAACACTCCACTATGCAGAAAAAGACCCAGGATCAGTCCAAGGCTTCCAAAGTGACATAGCCAAGATTTCTTTCCAGCCTCGATGGCTGGATTCTGTTCAAAATCTAATGCTGCCTTCCAGTGATTTATTTTCAGGTTGCATTGATTAGGTCCCATCTGACCATCCTAGGTGGGTCAGCATGGGAAGGAGCCCGGCAACTGATTCTGAACAATGTAAGTGTGGTGTGTTGAAGCAGTGGCCACTGTGAGATTCTAAGTGTACAGGAATGTAGAAAGAACACAGAGCAGAGGGCTGGGGAGTCAGAAGGAGGAATGTAGGGCTTTTCCAAGGACAGGAGCCGTTCACCTGGAATGCAGTCTAAGGAGGAAGCTCCAGTGGACCACAGGGCATTGGCTCCTCCTTGGCAATCACACTTGCATGTTTTCTGGTACCAGGGGTCCTCGCCCTCATCCTGTAGACAGCCAGAGAGGCAGAGGTCAGAAAAGTCATAGTTGAAGGCAACTGGCTAGTGCACCATGGGGAGCTTATTTGCAAAGGTCAGGTTCAGTCCTTAGAGCCTGTAGCTGCTAGCTCTGAACACACAAGGGCTACTCATCTTTGATTCAATTTTACATTTGCTTGAGGTGTTTTTGTTTTGTTAGTTTGTTTTTTAAGACAGGGTCTCATGTAGCTGAGGATTACCCTTAATTCCTGATCCTCCTGCCTCCACTTCCAAGGGCTGGGATTATAAATATGTGGCACCATGCCATTTATGCAGTGCTGGGGATTGAACCCAGGGCTTTGCGCATGCTACGAAAGCACTGTACCAACCAAGCTACATCCCCAGTTCTACACTATTTTTAAAATGTTTTATATTTTTATTTTTATATCGATGAGTGCTTTCCCTGCATGTATGTAACTGTACCATGTTCCTTGCCCACAGAGGCTGGAAGAGGGCATCGTATCCTCTGGAACTGTAGTTGTAGATGGTTGTTAGCCTCCATGTGGTTGGTGGGAACTGAATCCAGGTCCTCTGCAAGAGCAATCAATGCTCTTAACTGCCAAGCCATCTCTCCAGCCTCCTATATTACTTTCTTTAAATGTGTATGTGTTTGTGTATGTGTATATACACTTGTATATGGGGGTGCCCATGTGCTTGTTTGAGAATGCGGAGGCCAGTGGACAGCCTCAGTTGTCATTCTCAGGAATGCTGTTCACCTCCCTTGAGACAGGCTCTCTTATTGGCCTGGAATTCACCCATTAGGCTAGACTGGCTGGCCAGCAAGCCATAGGGATCCTCCTGTCTTCATCTCCCCACCACTGGAATTATAAGCTCTGACCACCATGCCCCCAGCATTTTTAATTTATGAGTTCAGGGATTTGAACTCAGGTCCTTGTGCTTGCAATGCATGTATTTTTATCAACTGAGGCATCACCCCATCTTTTTGTGTTTGTTTCGTTTGAGGGTCTCATGTAGCCCAGGCTGACCTCCAACTAACTACGTAGCCAAGGGTGGCCTTGAACCTCCTGATCTTTCCCAAATGCTGGGATTAAAGGCATGTGCCACAATACCATGCTCATATCTGCCACTATAGGCAGTCGAATAATTATCTCATTGTCCAACCCAAGTCCCAGTGAAGGTTGAACTCTTCACATTCCCTACAGGGTCCTATCTAGTGATCCAATCTTAGAAGATATTGGAGTCAAAATTGTGCCATCTGATTAAAGACCTGGCTTACTTTTATTCTCACTGAGGCACCAATCTAAAGCCAGCTGTGGTGGCACATGACTGTAATCTCAGCACTTGGAAAATAGAGGCAAGAGGATCAAGAGTTGAGTTCAAGTTTATCCTCAGCTACATACTGAGTTTCAGGCTAACTTGGGCTATGTGAGAATCTGCCTTAAATAAAAAAGCAACAACAACAACAAAAAATAGACACCGATTTAACTAGATATGGTGACACATAGCAAAATCCTGTCTAAAGAACAAACAAATGGGCTAGAGAGATGGCTCAATGGTTAAGAGCACTGGCTGCTCTTGCAGAGGACCCAGGTTCAGTTCTCAGCACATATGGCTGCTAACAACCATCCATAACTCCAGTTCCAGGGGCTCCCATGCTCTCTTTTGGCCTCTGCAGGCATTGTACAAATGTGGCACACTTACATACGTGAAGGTAAAACACTCATACACATAACATTAAAATAAAATTTAAAAATAAATAAATAAAAATAAAATGTAGAGACCAATACACTTATGACCTAATAAGCAACATTCCAACAACTCCTCCTGCTCCCCCTGCTCCTAGCTACATACTGAGTTTCAGGCTAACTTGGGCTATGTGAGAATCTGCCTTAAATAAAAAAGCAACAACAACAACAAAAAATAGACACCGATTTAACTAGATATGGTGACACATAGCAAAATCCTGTCTAAAGAACAAACAAATGGGCTAGAGAGATGGCTCAATGGTTAAGAGCACTGGCTGCTCTTGCAGAGGACCCAGGTTCAGTTCTCAGTGCCCACATAACAGCTAACAACCCTCCTTAACTCCAATTCCAGGGGAACTGACTCTCTCTTCTGACCTCCACTCGAATTGCATGACATGGGTACACTTACATACATGTAGGCAATATACTCATACACCTAAAATAAAAATAATAAATAAAATATTTTAAGAAAGAAAGAAAAAAAAGAAATCCCACCAGTCTTACTGGGGGGTGTGGCTTGGTGGTAGATCACTTGCTTAGCAGAGGCAAAAGTACTCAATTTTTTGTTTGTTTGTTTTGATTGTTTGCTTGATTTCAGATGAGGTCTTACTTATCCCAGCCTGGTCTTGAACTCTCTAGTAGTCAAAAAATGACCTTGAAATGACCCTCCTGCCTTTATTTCCAGAGTGCTGGGATCATGGCTTATGCACTGCCACATCCAGTTACGTGGTACCTAGCTATGCGCGCTAGGAAAACCCTCTGACAACTGAGCTTCATCCATAACTCTTTCCTTCTTTGTTTTGTTTTCTTGAGTCAGGGTATCACTTTGTAGCCCAGGCTTGCCTAGCATTCCCTATGTAGCCTAGGACAGCCTTGAATGCTTTAGCTTCCTGAGTGTGGGATTATAGGCCAGCTTAAATTTTTATTTATTTATTTAAGACAGGGTCTTACTATGCGGCTCTGACTAGCTTGAATTCACTATGGAGACTAGGATGGCCTCAAACTCAAAGAGAACCACCAGTTTCTGATTCCTAACTGATGGAATTAAAGGCATGCACCATCACGCTCAACTAACTTTTTTTAATAATACATTTGAAAAGGGATTGGGAAGGTGGCTCAGCAGATAAGAACACTTGCTGTGGAAGTATGAGGACCCAAGTTCGAATCTGCAGCATGCTCATAAAAAGCTGGGTGTGGCTGCACGTGCTGTAGCCTCAGCTTAAGTGGGCAGAAGCAGGTGGATCCAGGAAGCTCATTGGCTAGTCAGCCAGCCTGGCAGAAAAGGCAAGCTTCCAGTTTAGGCAATAATGTGGAGAGCAATACAGGAAGACACCCAAAGTCTTCCTCCAGCCTCTGCATGCACATGACTAGCATACACACTGAAATATTCATGTATAACACACACACACACACACACACACACACACACACTCCCCACAAAATCAAATTCATTTGGAAATATCCTTTCAGGTTGCAGGTGTAGGTAGCTCACTGGTGGTAAATCACATGCTTAGCATGTACTCGCCCCACCTCAGCAACCACCACCCACCCACCAAGTGGTAGACTTATACATTAATTTTGACTAAAAAAAACTTTAAAAGCAATATTCATGGAAATTCCAACCTTCTAGTAACATACCTCTGTAGACGATAGTCCCAGTGTGGCTGAACAAAAGAACAAGAAGAAAATGAAATAAGAAAAGAAAGAAATTCAACAAAATCATTAATGGCAAGGAAAAGCATAACGAAAATGGTGACAGCAAAGTTAACAAAACTTCTGGAAGAGTCAAGCTGCATATACGACATCCAACGAACCAGGAGAAACTGCCACAGATGCTGACAAGTAAGGGAAGAAAAGAGATGACAACTATTTTTGCTCATTATAGAATTATGGAAAATATATTAATTTAGCAAAGTGGGGGGATATACCTGTCTTTTACATTTTTCTTTCTTTCTTTCTTTCTTTCTTTCTTTCTTTTTTCTTTATTTCTTTATTTCTTTATTTCTTTATTTCTCTCTCTCTCTCTCTCTCTTACCATATGAGGAGATTAGAGAACATCTTTCGAGAATTGTTTCTCTTCTTCCACCATGTGCTTCTGGGGATTGAACTCAGGTTGTCAGACTTAGTGGTAAGTGCCATTATCCACTGAGCCATCTTTTAAAACTTTTATCTATATTTATTTTATGTATATGAGGGTTTGTCTGCATATATATATATCGCATGTGTGCAATGCCCATGAGGCCAGAAATATGTGTCAGATCCCCTGGAACTGGAACCATGGACAGTTGTTAGCTGCCTTGTGGGTGCTGGGAACCAAACCTGAATCCTCTGGAAGAACAAAAAGTGCTCTTAAACTGGTGAGCCATCCCTGCAGACCCCCACTGAGCCATCTTGCCGCAGCCCCAATACACCTTTATTTCTTACTACCAAAGTCAATGCGGTTAACATTTTAGTGTACATCTTTCCCGTCTTACTTTGTTTTGTTTAGTGGAACCCAGAGCCTGGTGTATACTAAGTCCCTACTCTACCACTAAGTTACACCCCCAGCTCCCAAGTCATGCTTCCTCTTCCTCCTTCTCCTCCTCCTCTACTTTGTCTTTTTCTTTTCCATTGAGACAGGGTCTCCCTGTAGCCCCAGCTGGCCTAGAATTCACTATGTAGATCAGGCTGGCCCCAGTCTCACAGAGATCTGCCTGTCTTTGTCTCCAAGGTGCTGGGATTAAAGGAGCTTGCCACCACCCCTGGCTCTTTGTCTTTTTTTGAGACAGGGTCCCAAGTATCCTGTATCAGGGCTTGCATCCAATTTGCATTTTGCTGAAAATGACCTTGAAATCCTGATCTTCTGCCTCCACCTTCCCATTGCTGGTTATAGAGGGTATGTACCACGCTTGCTTTCTGTGCTACTGGGAAGTTAGCCCAGGGCTTTGTGCATGCTAGGCAAGCACTCTTGTCAACTGAGCTACGTCCTCAGCCCTTTAGTCACTTTCTTTTTCTTCTCTTTTTTTTTTCTTTTTTTGAGACAGGGTCTCTCTGTAGCCCCATCTGGCCTGGAACTTACTATGTAGACCAGGCTGGCCTTGAAGTCATTGATGTCCTCCTGCCTCTTCCCCTTGAGTGCTGGGATTAAATGCGTGTGCCACCACACCCGGCCTCAGTCACTTTTCCATGTGCAGTTAAAAAAAATCCACTAAAAAGCTCACTCTACAAACAATGTATTCTACTTTCCTTTTCCACTTGACAGTGTGAGCTTTTTCCTTTACTTAGTAACTCTTCCTCCTCCTCCATCACCTCCTTCTCCTCTTCCTCTTCCTTCTCCTTCCCTTCCTCCCCTCCTTCCTCTGTCTGCCTAAATGTGCTACCCAGGAGTTGATTTCCAGTTCTCTCATTCAGGTTATGAGAAGCCACATGTGGTGGCACATGGCTATAATCCCAGAAGTTGAGATGTAGAACCAGGAGGATCAGGAGTTTAATGGCATCCTTGGCTTGAGGCCAGCCCAGGATACATGAGAGCTTGTCTCAGAAAAATAAAAATGTTTGAGTTCATTCTGTACTACCTAGCAAAACCCTGTCTCAAAAACAAACAAAACAACAACAAAAAGCAAACAAAATGGTTATTTAGGATTTGGATATTGTTTGGAAATTCTTTTTGAACTTTGCAATAAACAAGAGATATCGAACCCCAACCAAAATATAAATACCTTTAAACCACAATCAAAATATAAATACCAACCAGGCATGGTGGTGCACGTCCTTTAATTCTAACAGTTGGGAGGCAGAGGCAGGGAGATCTCTGCAAGATTGAGGCCAGCCTGGTCTTCATAGAGAGTTTCAGGTCAGTCAGGGCTACATAGTAAGACCCTGTCTCTCATATATATATATATGTGTGTGTGTGTGTGTGTGTGTGTGTGTGTGTGT